GATTTGGGCCAACATTTACTGTATATTGATATTATCTCTACTTATCCCCATTGATTGCCACTCCCAGGTTGCTACTTTCTTCTTTTGCATAACCTTTTTTGAATAAATATTAAAATCAAGGTGACACTCCAAACCCCTCTTCTAATTTCTCATATAATCAGAGAGGGAAAAGTTATTTTCTGATATTTGGATTACTGGTCCCAGAATACTTCAGCGTGTGTGGCTACTGGTTACATTGGCTGGGAGAATACTGGGGCTGTGGTCCAAAAAAGTTACTTTTCTAGCTTTTTTTGTAATTACAACCAAGAAGACCTCTAAATAGGAACTTTTATAAAAGTAAGGAGTTTGTTAGGAGCAGCTGAAAAACGGGTAAATAAACACTTTGGCCGAAATCCTGTTGCGTAAATTTTGGCTGTGGAAGTCTGGTGATGCTGTGGGCAGGAGAAGATTTTCCGTCACACGGTTGGTATAACCCACTTATAATCAGCCTCCTTGTATGGGAGCAGCAGGACTGAAGGAGGATCTCTTTAATGACCTGAAATCTCCTCTGCCTGATGACATTAATTGGGGTGGGGTGGGGTGGCTTGGTAGAGCCTCTTTCCATCTTGGGGGGGTCCTACAACTCACACGCAATAAGACTGATAATGCACGCAACTCAGACAAGCTGTGGAATGGAAAAGGGGACTCTTTAATTGCCAAACATCTCTTCCTGCTGGTGACCTCACCACCATTCCATAAGCATAACTTATGCAACAGGATTATGGCTGTTGCATAAATGGAAAGACAACAGGATACAATGGGATTACATTAAAAAAATAATAACAAAGGTTTCCCTATGTTATCTGTCTGAATTCCTTGGGGTTCTCTGCTTCTTTCAATGGGGCCTCTGCTTCCCTTACCTCAATCTGCGGATCTGCATCTTCCAAATGTCTGTACAGTGGTGCCTCTCTTAACGACGATAATCCGTTCCAGGGAAATTGCCGTTAAGCGAAAACATCGTAAAACAAAATTAAAAACCCATTGAAACGCATTGAAACCCATTCAATGTGTTCCAATGGGGTAAAAACTCACCGTCCAGCGAAGATCCTCCATACGGTGGCCATTTTCGCTGCCAGTATAGTGAGGAATCCTAAACACAGCGGGGAGCCGTTTTAAGCACCCGGTGGCCATTTTGAAAACCCGACGATCAGCTGTTTTTGATCGTCGTAAAGCGAAAATCGGTTCCCGAAGTAGGGAACCAATCTTCGCAAAGCGAAATTCCCCCATTTAGACCATCATATTGCGATCGGAATTACGGTCGCAAAAAAGATTGTCATAAAGCGGATTCGTCGTAATGCAGGGCAATCGTTAAGCAAGGCACCACTGTATAAAGGCCCTGGGTGCTGCTTATTGTAATATTCTAGGGCCTCCTCCTTGAAGATGTCCACCAGAGGATGAAACTCCCCATGTTCTTCCAGCAACTGGGCTTCCCGGTTCGCCTCCATCCGCAGTCGCTCTTCTGAGTCTAGCAACGTCTCCTGTGGTTCTTCTCTTGCCTCTAGTCGTCTAGGTCTTCCACGTCTTCCCAGAAAGGCTCTTCCAGATCTTCCCGGAAAAGCTGCAGCTCTTCCAGGCTCTCCCAGAAGAGCATCTCCTCTGAGTATTTTATTTATTTATTAGATTTTTTTAT